TTTCCCTTGCCCCATGATATGCATCAGCAGATAAGTAGGCTTAGTAGTGAGGAGTTTCAGTTGCAAACGATGACAACAAATGCTTTATCCGAAGCTAGTTGCATGCAGTCCACCTCAGTGTATACAACCGATGAACTGTTAGAAGAGGGCGAACAAAATAAGACATTGGACAGAAAGAACATGGAAAAAGGAGAAGAAAAGAAGCAACCATTTCCAATGAAACAGATATTGCTTATGGAAAACAGCTGGTATGCTAGTCCTGAAGAGATTGCTGGTGCTCCAAGTACCTGTGCTTCAGACATTTACCGTTTAGGGGTGCTACTTTTTGAGGTTTGTTTGAAAACAAACTTTTTTTCTCTTATTCGTAGTTATTGCTGATGCTGTACTCAACTATTTTTTTTTTGTTGCTGTTTGTTTTTATTACACCGATGGGATCAATTCTACTCGGATAGTTATTCTGCCCTTTTAGCTCAAGAGAAGAGAAGACCAGAACCATGTCTAGTTTGAGACATCGAGTTCTTCCCCCTCAGTTATTGCTTAAGTGGCCCAAGGAAGCTTCATTCTGCTTGTGGCTATTGCACCCAGAACCAAGTAGTCGTCCAAAAATGGGGTAATTTCTCTTTTCAATAACTATTGTAGTTTTCACTTTATTGTCACTTTAGAGACCTTTTCTCCAGTTGTTTCTTGGTTTCTAAATTTTTATTTTACAGAATTCTTTCATTTTTCTCATGGTTAGCTGCGTCCTTTACAGCCTTTGACTTCTGTACCACTTTTTTCGTTTCAATTTCTGTCTTTTTTTTGTTCTTTCTTAAAGCTGTTTGAGGAACTAATTTCATTGTTCAACTTAGTATTAGTCCTATCCTAGCTAGTTTGGTCTATAATTAAGCTGTTATGCTTTAGTGCATGCCAGATGGAAACCATTTACTAGCATAAGACATTCGAAACGTTACTGCTTTGAAGTTGATTGTGTTCTCATGCACAAAAGTGGCAGTTCAGATTCCACTTTGAAACATTATGCTGAACTATCATAAAGGCTTCGTTATTTGATTATGAAGTTATAGAATATTATATTTTTTGGAAGGTTATAATTTGACTAAGTAGTGTGCTTCTGGCATGTGAACCAATCCATAATTATTACAATTATGGTTATTGTCGTTATTGTTATTATTATTATTATTACTTTCTTGTCTAACATCTCTATTTTGTCATTGTTACAGTGAATTGCTACAAAGTGAGTTTCTTAATGAGCCCAGAGATTCTCTTGAAGCACGTGAAGCAGCAATAGAACTTAGGGAGAGAATAGAAGAGCAGGAATTCTTACTGGAGTTCCTCCTATTGATGCAGCAAAAAAAACAGGAAGCTGCCAATAAATTGCAAGATACTGTTTCATTTCTATGTTCCGATATCGAAGAAGTTACAAAGCAGCAAACAATGCTCAAGAAAAAGGGAGACTCATACACAGAGCCCGGAAAGGATGATGGCTCAACATCAAGTCCTCCCTTAGTTAATACTGTTGAAAACCATGACTCTTCAAGTACGGGGTCTAGGAAAAGATTCAGACAGGGGCTTCAGTTGCACACCATGGAGGACTGTGATGATAATCTAGATGATGATCCGAAGTCAGATACGCTTGCTGAAAATCCAGAAAGTATTCTTCTTCAAAGTTCTCGATTGATGAAGAACTTCAAGAAGCTGGAGTCAGCATATTTTTTGACACGATGCAGGCCAATCAAACCATCTGGGAAAATGTTGGTTAGACATTCAACTGTGAGTAGTGAGGGCAGAGGGTCTATTGTCATAACAGAAAGAAGTTCTGTCAGTAATTTAGCATCAAAAGATCGGCCTGGTGAACCTAGAGAAGGGGGATGGATAAATCCATTCCTTGAGGGTCTGTGCAAATATCTATCTTTCAGTAAGCTAAAAGTCAAGGCAAACTTGAAGCAAGGAGATTTGCTAAATTCTTCCAACCTTGTATGCTCTCTCGGCTTTGATCGTGATGGAGAATTTTTTGCTACGGCTGGTGTAAGCAGGAAGATTAAAGTATTTGAATGTGATCCTATTATAAATGAAAATCGTGATATCCACTACCCCGTGGTTGAAATGTCTAGTAGGTCAAAGCTAAGCAGTATATGTTGGAACAGCTACATAAAAAGTCAAATTGCTTCAAGTAACTTTGAAGGTGTAGTCCAGGTAGGTCTGGCCTTGGACTTATTCAATTATCAGTTGCCTATTTCTTTTATCTAATCAATTGCTTGAATACTTTTAGATATGGGATGTTACAAGAAGTCAGGTGGTCATGGACATGAAGGAGCATGAGAAGCGTGTGTGGTCCATTGATATTTCATCAGCTGATCCAACATTGTTGGCCAGCGGCAGCGACGATTGTTCTGTTAAGCTATGGAGTATCAATCAGGCAATTCCATTTTTGCACTTGGTGGATGTCAGCATTTGAAACTAAACGTACTGCAGTCATCTAATTTCTTACTTTATGAAGTTAATCCTCGATGTATGATAAGTTGTTCTTCTTACTTGGGTTGCTAATGCAGGGAGTAAGCATCGGTACCATCAAAACAAAGGCCAATGTTTGCTGCGTCCAGTTTCCTTTGGATTCTGGACGTTCTCTTGCATTTGGTTCAGCAGATAATAGAATATATTACTATGATCTCCGTAACTCAAAAATTCCTCTGTGCACATTAATTGGGCACACTAAAACTGTCAGTTATGTCAAGTTTGTCGATTCAAGTTCTCTTGTTTCCGCGTCTACGGATAACACTCTGAAGCTCTGGGATTTATCAATGTGCACATCTCGGGTCAATGATACCCCTCTTCAATCTTTTACGGGCCACATGAATGTGAAGGTACTTTAGCTTGCAGTGAATTATGTTTATGCATATATTCAGTCCGTAACCCACGGTCTCTATCTTTTTCTTATCAGCATCTTATGCTGTATGAGTCATTATTTTTCGTTTGTTTGTGAACTGTTTGAAACTGCTCTACTAAGAAGAGATGTTTGCTCAAAATTATTTCTCATAAACTTATGAATCACTGTAGGGTTACTATTCAGCCTTTTGGTTTTATAAATATGAGGTCTTGGAAAAAGTTACTTAGATTTGAAATCTTTCCGCATTTTTAGTGCTCTCAAGACTTAGAACCCGTGCTTTTGTACTTTGCAGTCTAAAACTTTTATATGAGTGCTCATTAAGACTGCAGGAAGGAAGAGTTGTTTTACAAGACTTTGTTATATTCAATTTTTAATTAATCCTTTTTATGGGTTTTAGCAGGAGTGGCTTTTTCTCTATGGCCTGTCCATGAGTGATTTTAGTGCTTGCCCATATCTTTAATATGTCATTGCGACAAATTTACTGGTTTAGTTAAATATTTGGCACCATCAATCCTTACAAGTATTATTCTTTACACAGTAATTTCTCATGTAAACATTTATGGGTTTATATGTCTGTGTTCTTGCAGAACTTTGTGGGTTTGTCAGTATCTGATGGTTATATTGCCACAGGCTCCGAAACTAATGAGGTACTGAACTTAACATTCACCTATCGTTGCAGTGTTGAGTGGATAAATATCTTTGCAGCATGTTCTTGTGACGTTTTTTCCCTCTGCAATCGACACGCAATCATTTTTTTTCCATTTGTTGTTTTCAATTGTTGGTCCTGTTATGAACCTAGATGTGCGGTGTGCTCTTTGATTCAGGATAATAAGTGGTGGATTGCTTTCTATAAATTATGGTTAGTTTGACTTGAGTGTCTTACATGATTAAACATACTTAGTCGGACTTGGCATTGCCTATCACTTGTCTATCCCTTATTTGCTGATTCGTTTATCCTTTATATCAGTCTCTCATGGTAAGGACAAAGAACATGATAAAGTTATAACCGATTCCTAGAAGTCTAGTATTCAAATCATGTATGTCACCCATTTCTTTTAATTAATTCCGGCACAAATAGAGTGAGCTTGTGCTTAATCTATGCCTTCAGGCCAAAGGGCTTGTGGGTGTGACAGCATATTGATGTAAAAACAATATATTCGACCTTTTCTTATCAAATTAAACTTTTTAGATAATTGATCAGAATCTATTATTTAACAAAACGACCTATCGTTCATGATTGCTATGGGATTTTCATCCCTCGTAGATTATTTAATTGAAACATTTTGTTCCATGCATTTTTTTGTATTCGATTATTTACTGGCGCTGCATTTCAGGTTTTTGTGTACCATAAAGCTTTCCCCATGCCAGCATTGTCATTCAAATTCAACAACATGGATCCCTTTTCTGGTCACGAGATGGATGATACTGCGCAGTTCATATCCTCTGTCTGTTGGCGCGGCCAGTCCCCTACTTTAGTTGCAGCAAATTCGTCCGGAAACATCAAAATCTTGGAGATGGTTTAATCTGTCCACACTCCGAAACCACTGATGATCTGTAAGCATTGTTTATGGCGCAGAAAAGAGGAAAATCTTGTATCAACGAGGAAAATCTTGTATCAACGAATTTGAAAGGTATACGAAATTTAAAACAACAATTTTTGGCAGTAGATGATAGCGGATGATACGAACATTAAGAGTGAGAATATTCTTGTTGAAAATGTATGTAGATAAAAGAAATTCAAAGGTAGAAGGGGAAAAAAGGAATTATGCAGTCATCTAATCATATGTATATTTTGTAATACTGCTAGTAGTGGTACAACCTTTCATTTTTTACAATCACAAGTAACCTTTTCTCCATTTTTCCCAGTTTGGGGTAAGAAACTGTATGCTGATTACTGAGTGATTTTACAAGGTAACTGATCAGATGCTGTTGGTTGTAACTTGGTTTTCAACAAGTTAGACTATAATTACTGTTGGGTTTTACTTTTAACCTAATAATAACTGCTGGGTAATCAATGGTAACTTCAGTTTTACTTAAAGTTTTTACCTTGATTGATTAACTTCTCATGTTAGGTGACTGTCCAAATTTCCAAGAACAAGAATGAGGGAGTTAGGTGAGTAGCATTCTTTGTGGTATAAAATAGTTAATTTATATACAAACAGTTGATTTTAACTTAATTACTTAATTAATGGGTTAAGTTAAGTTCTTAATTATTTATTTTTTATGAAACTGCTGCAGTGATTTGAATAAATAAATTTATCTTGTGTAATGGGTGTATATTAATTTGGTATTATATCTTTATTAATATATTAAATAACACATTTAATTAATTTTGTTAATCTTAATGTTAGCATCCATTTATTGATTTTTTAAAGTTAAAATTAAATTAAGCATAAATTTACCAGCTAATTCCAAGTATTTCTCAATATCCTGAAAGTCAAGTCAGCAACAAAAAATAAAAATTTCCTCTTGGGATTTCTTCAAAGTGGCTGCATCAAATGACCTAATGTGATTGGGACTTTTCAATATTTAACTATGCAAATTTGTATGTATTTAAACTATTGAGACTCATTCTACTAATTTATTAAAAATATTTTCCAAGTAAAATTTTATCTCCCCATAAAATCTAAGGGGAAGAATGGTTAAGAACATGGAGAATGAATGCTCTAGAAATGAGAACCAAAAACTAAGATTGAACTGTATATTATTCATCCAAGTAATGTGGAATAAGAGTTTTTAAGAATCTGAACTCTAGGAAACAAAACAATGAGAGAATCTCTGTGTATCCCTGAATGTTTCTATAAATTCTAGCCTTACCGGAAAGACGATCGTGGCCATCATCTTCAATTCCGAACAGCACTCCCCATGTTGGTTTTGTATGTTTAATGTTCTAATCACACTAACATAGCTTTACTTCTAACCCGAGGATGAGGCCACCGCTGCAACTCATTCGGCATAATGTCCAAGTTGTTGCTCAGCTTGTGAACAGAAAGAATTTTGTAACCTCCTTTTTCTGATTTTCAAGTTTTTTTTTTCAATCCGCTGGCAAGAGACTTCAGTCGAAACTATGTACACTGATTTTCACCTAGTCTAGCTGACAAGGTTAGCTTAGTTATTAGCTGGAGAAGCCTCCGGGATCCTGCACCTGGTCTGATCTTGGACAAGTTCCCTACCTTGGAACATTTAGGTTTTCCGGCACACCAGCCCCCAGGGGTGAAGCCCCCACTACTACGGCCAAGTAATTCTCGATCAATTTTATCTAAAACAGCATCATCTTGTTTGAATTTCCGGGCAAATGCAGCACCACTTGCAATCATTTTGTCGGTGTCATTAAGGGAAAGAATGTGGGGATGCTGCTTTGGGGGATTATCCCAAGAAATGTAGTGCAAGTCGTGATTGATAACAGTCTTTGCATACTCCGGTACATTGCAGACAACAGTCTGAAAGTAGCCCTCAGGGGAGGAGACAAAGTTTGTGTAGTACATGAGCAAGGTCCTTGGCAAATTATCCCAACCCCAAACACAGTATTCCACAAAAGATCGTGACAGAGCCATCCATGCTGAACCTGCAATGTTATCGGAAGTTGTATAATGGAACAGCATCAATCTCTCTTTCTTGCTTTTCTAGGAACAAACAGGTTCGATTTCTTGAACAGTTCTAAACAAAGCACAAAACAGTAGCAGAAGCAGGGTGAAAGAGATGCAAAGATTCTTGGGACTAAACTCCACTTGCATCCGCTGCTTCCTCTGAAAAAGAACAGAATGCTATCCACAGAATCTACCTGTATGACTACATCTTCAATTGGTATTTTTCATTTTCTAAAGCCGAAAAGAACAATGAAAGTGGAGTATGGAAACAAATGCAGGCGAGTTATATGATCCTCCCTCGTGTGTTTTTCAGACTAATAGTAGAGTCACACTCAAGCAATTTTTTTGTGCAATTCCCACCTCTAAGCAGTTACAGAAAGCGCAGCCTCAAATCTTGCAACTAGAATCCAGCTGCTACAAGTGTCCCTATATTTCATATCTATTTTGAAATAAAAGCCAGATAATGCCACATAAATTAATGGCAGAGCCAAAAAGATTAGTGTATCTCCAAATTTGCAAATGCTTCCAGATAGACGGAAATGTTTACCAAGCAAATATATCAGTACAGAAGTAAATGACTGGAACTCCAACAGACTCTATTCAAAAGGATAAGGTGACCAATGACTCAATAACAAGGCACGATCAAGCTTTACAAGTACCCATTATAGGTAATAAACAATTATGGGACAAGAAGAACAAATGATTGCTCAAATAGCAGAGCACTAACCTGTAAATAGTTTAAATGCTGTTGGCAAGTCTCGTCGTGGTGTGACCCAAACAATATCTGACTTCGTTGTCATGTAAAGGCCAGGATCTATGATCAATGGCATTGCTCGCTTGTCCCTGAAAAACATTGTCATTTATCTGAGAATACCAATCCACGGAGAAACAGATACAGAGAAAGAGTCATATACAGGGAGGCTTACTCTTTCCAACCTAGCTGGCTTGTGTGCTCGATGAAATTAAGACCGGGGTCCGACTTGGAAAACACATGAAGAAGATCTGCACATGCCAACTTGATTAATCAAGCCATATGCAGAATTTGCAGCAGTCCTTCGAAAAGAAAGAAACTAAAATAAAAGTGTACCATATAGAAACTAACCATCTTGAGTCACAAGAGGATAATCTGAAGCACTGAGATTGATGAACCAATCCCATTCTGCATTTCTCTTGAGAAGAATGGCACAAGCATGAAGTGTATTAGCAACCATGGTGGGTCCCCGATAAGTAACCAGATTGGCCTTGGTGATCATGTAAACATTACCAACCTTGCTATACATTGGATCATTTTTCAACCGAGAAGTAAGCTCTAGTCTTTCCTCTACCGGTGATTCAAGGTCTAAATGGATAACATACTGATTCCGGGGATGATACAGCGCTTGAAGAGTTCTCCAAAGCTTTTCTAAATCACCTTTTGACCCAGAAACCAAATAAGCAAAGCGTGGTATTCTTGGACCATAAGGAGGAGGCGGAGATTGTCCAACCTTCGTTTCAGCAAAATCTGGCCTCGTCTGATTTGCTGACAGCCGAGTTGGGATTATAGAGAAAATTGAATTGATTGTGTGAAGTGAAGAGACAAGGCCCATGTTGAAGGAAGTTGCAAGAAGAAATACCAATATAAGTGAGCTTATCACAAGAGGAAACACCCATTTCTTCTCCACGTTTAGGTATCCCATTGCAAAACCTTATCATGGACTTCCTTTCAACAAACTCAAATCCCAATTCCAGTCAATCACCAATTCATCGAAGCCAGATTTTTTCATTCACCAACAACCAACAACATTCACCTTGTGCAACTGAATGTTGATGGTGGCTGCTCCAGATTCCAGAGCTTAAACAATCCGATCTGGGCCTCGCATATAGCTGTTAAATCATCAAAATAAATGCTTGAACTTAGTCTATAATCAACGTCTATCCTTTTCAGATTAATTCCAAACAAAGAACGTGACAATTTCGTGAACATCTAGCTCAGGTATTGGAATCAGAAACCGACAGGAATTATAAATAAACAAGGTAGAGACACGAAGAGCCAGCCAGAAAATATATATGATAAAGTAAAAGATATGATGCATAAGGAAGATCGACAACCGGGCAAGAAAATCAAACAATAAATAAAGAATTAGTTAAATGTTTGTCTTAAAAGGACGTAGAAAAATTAAAATTAAAATATTCTTTTGTGAACAAGCTCGTGAGTATCTAGGTTTTGAAGAACGCCATAGACGACGATATAAATCACTGGTATTACAATGCCAAATCTTGAATAATCAGATGAGAATTCCTGATCCCAAATTCAAGAACCCAAAACCGAAAAACTAGAATGAAATTTAAAGAAAGGAACAAAAGTAAAAAAGAAGAGAGAATCAAAACCCAAATCTAATAGTACAAGCTTCAAATCATTCAAGCTAACGAACATTCATCAAGATATGAACTAAGAAAATGAAACGAAGATTTCCCAGATACACGCATAGCTCAATCAAGAGCTCTAACAATACATACTCTTAAACACCAAGAAGAAAACCAATCAAAACTCAGAGAAATGCATCAGAGCTGATAACCACATCTTAGACACTAACAAGAATCGAAATGGGAGGAGAAGTACGCGAGAAAAAGAGAAGAAAGAACCTGAGTTTTGCACGCAGATGCAGAAAGCAATCGTTTCAGGCTTCACCAATGCACGTTTCAAGAAGAGAGAGAGGGAGAGGGAGACAGACTGAAGTGTAGGTGGAGAAAGAGAAAAAGAAAATGAAACCAAGATGTGAGAGAGACGACTGTAAATAAATATGTAGATATATAGGTAATAAAATAAATAAACACCCCCCCCC